CTGGAGACACAATCCAGAGATGCAGTCTGCAGAAAGCAGCCAAGCTGCCCCAGTCGAGCGCTAAACAGCTCCCGCTCGGCCTTGGGGCTGTGCTTAGGGTGCTACAAGTACCAAGGACTATCCTGAGACAGATGAGTGACACCAGAGGTGTCTTTGCATGTGACAACTCTCGGGGGAGGGTGGTAACTGACCTCTCAGACATGTGCAAACAGGAATTGGGAAGGTAGGAAAGCAGTTCCTGGCCCCTCAACAACAGCAGTCAGAGCCTGTGTGTGCAGGAGTTGGGACCAGCTCCCCAGGCTCTGCCACTATTGCCCCTCGGCAAATCTTTTTATCCCTTAGAAGGCAGCCAACAGGATGGAAGTCCATACTCTGATCAACTGCAGATGTCTGTTCCCATGGGAGGAGGGCAGGCACTCTGGGCCTTCAGGGCTGCCCCACACCAAGGATTGATGTCACATGTGTCACAATGACCCTGTGGCGACATCAGAGAGCTTTCAGGAATCACACCCAGAAGGCACAATGATTGATGTCACAGGTCATAGTGATTTTCTGGTGACACCACAAGGCTTTCAGGGATTACTGATAGAACAGAGAAGCCCTGGCCTCAGGGAACAAAAGCTGCTCAGATAGCTCATCTCACTAGACTGCCTTGCTGTCAAGCAGAATTTCCTTGCTGTATTTTTTTTATAAAGTCACAGGCCTCACCCTTCATGTCTAGAACTGTTTTGTTCCAAGTAAGTCATCTCAAGGCATTTCGTACTCGGCCAACTTTCTAGGTCTGATCCAAGTCCCTCCATTCAGCACTGGGGAGGCTGCACGAGGAGTACTCTGTCCAGTCTTGGGTTCCCTAGCACAAGAGAGGTGGACATACTGGAGAGCATCCAGCAAAGGTCCACAAGGATGATGAAGGGACTACAGCATCTCTCCTATTAGGAGGTGTGGAAAGTGCTGTCTCCAGGCTGTTCAACCTGAAGAAGACTCCAGAGGGGATCACTTTTCAGGGTATATGAATACCCGAAGGGAGGATAGAGCAAAGACTGAGCCAGGTTCTTGTCAGGCATGCTCAGTGACAACAGGCGCAAAGCAAAACACAACAAAGCTAAAAGCTTCCCTCTGAACATCGGGAAACCTTTTTTTGCTGTGAGGGTGACTGAGCACTGGCAGAGGTTGCCCAGGGTGCTCATGGAATCTCCCTCCTTGGAGATACTCAAAAGCGGTGTGACTGTGGTCCTTGGGCACCATCTCTGCTTGAGCAGGGGAGGTTGGACCTGATGACCTCTGGAGGTCCTTTTGCACATCAGGCATTCTATGATTTTGTGACTCAAAGCACACTTGTGCAGCTAAGGAAGCGTGTCTAGGTTGCCTGATGTGGGAAGATTTGAATGTTTCTGTATGTTCATGAAGAATCAGGTTTGCCTCATGAAAGTTGATCATCCATGAAGTTGACACATCTTTTTTTTTTACTTCGGGGGCTTTATCAGTTATTGCACAGAAAACCAACAAGAAAAACAAAAGCATGAGGACAGTATAGAGTTAAACATCTCCCTAAAGGTATTGGTTCTGTTTTCATACCATGTGTTGCATGTGACCCATCAGGTCACAATTTGCAACTAATGCAACTTGCTTCATGTCAGTGCTGTGAGTTAGCAAGTGAGCAAGCTTGATCCTGATCTGAATTCCTTGCTGCAGCATCCTAACATTCTGCTCTGTGGTAGTCCTAGTCATGGAGTGACGAAAGGAGTGTACAGAGTAGAGGATGACTGTAGTTCAGTACAAAAATTGAACACAGTTTATCTTGGTACAGTAATTAATTTTTTTGATCACCTCTATCTTTTGACAAAACTCCTCTTCATACCAGTTTTACTTGAAAGTAACAATCTGTAAGATTCCCATTAAGGCTGTTGAAACCCTATTTCCACACATTTCAAAATTAGACCCTGTGCCATCAAATATAAAGGCCAAGAAAAAGTGCTATTTAATCCTTCACGGTCCCTCAAATAAGTGGAACTATCAATGCAGATTAATGTCTCTGCAATTAAACCTGCTTATTCACCATTCTTAAGTACATTTCACATAGGATGGTTATCATGGTTGCATGCAGTGACCCTCACCTCTCCCAAACAATTAAGGAGAGATGAGACTGGTATCCTGGGGACAGCATTAGGAGTACTGAAGAGCATGAATGCTAAAGTCCTAGGAAGGAAAATAAAGTCAGTGCCAAGTGATTTATACCAATTGGATTGCAGGAACTAACCAGTTGCTCTCATCAGATATATTACCTCAATGGGAAAGGATTGATGAAAAGGATCATCAATTAATAGTGAGAACTCTAGGTGCAGCCCATACAAATACCTCTTAGTTGTATTCAAGGTCAATTGAGGATACAACTTGCTGCAGCAGCAATTGTAAGGGAAGACAATGGGGGTATCTTGGCCACTGAAATTCATAAAGTAATCTGGAATAATGCAAATAAATTTGAAAGAAAATTTCAATCTTGGTGGCATCTTCACTTACGACCCTACCAACAAGTAAAACTTTTGTTTTAACAATATGCAATGCTTTGTTATATATCACATAGCCCATCATTGCACTGGGGTTAAATCACCACAGAATTATACTCTATCCTGTATAACACAAAATTATGGGTCCAACAAAATGGGAACAAATAGCAGACTGTCAATGTTGATGCATGCATTGCATGGGAAAAACGGGGTTTTATCTGTGAAAGTAACACCATTAGGGTGAACAAAATGTTTCTCAGTTCAAAATACATCCTGATGGAATCCTTGAACCTATGCTTATACATGTTGGAAAGGGATGTATGAGAACTATTTTTGATTCCATACTTAGAGAAAACATCACTATAGAAATAAGCAAACATCTGCATTTGTGCTTTTAGTCAAATTAGGGCCTTCTGTCACAACCCATGAATTTCTACAATATAGCTACACATCCTGTCAAGATTTACTGCCCACCCCCACTGGAATGAACCTTTCGCTGGTGAAAAAAATTACTGCAGCACAACCACCTGTGTCGACTGCTGGACTGCATATGAAACAATGGACAAAGAATTCTAATCACTATTCATCACGATACAGTAGAGATACACCATGGCTTGGAAAGAATAAACCTCAGTGGTGGGA